TGAATGAAACAAATGAAGAATGATCCATAAATCCGTTGAGAACGCTTTACTATAGCGAATAAGTCAGTATAGCATAAGGCGTACGTGGTTTTGTCAAAAATGTGAGACATATTTCCATACCAATGGAATGTCCTTTATTACAATTTTACGCAACCTAACTAGACCACTGATCTATCTATAAGAGTTATATATTGATTTGGGTACTTTTATTTGTTGTCGTGCATAGATTTGAAGGAAAATATCCATTATACTTTCAATAATTAATTAAAAGCCTAAGGCTCGCAGAATTGAAAAAGTATTTGTTTAGTACAAAGGCCTTTTTGATGTGCTGTAACAGTGAAAATAAAAACACGTGTCGGGCAATATAGCGCTTATACTTCGCAGTCAAAGCAATACTTTGAAACTATGTTTAATCCTTCGACAGTGTAAATCTCGGGGATTTCAAAAATATCATACGAACTTTGAAAAGGCTTTCTACGGCGCTATAGCAAAGGTAACATATTTAAGTTCCACACACGCGTATTTCTCGCAGAACGACAGTCTTCCCTTAGAATACTAGTGATCATTAACAGCATAAATCTCGCTAATTTCGCTATGTTTGTTTATTTTTAAACTCCTTTACTGCACTTCAGCAAGAAAATATTGGGTTAGAAAACGCCGCGCATTGCTGGTCAATCAGAGTGTGAGACAAGCTGCGAATCGATCGCGTGCGCATGCGAATTTTGCAGCGTAAGTCACATAAGGCGTGCGATTTTTGTCATTGATTTTAGAACTTTCTCCGTTTTGAGAAAATTCCAGACAAAATACATAGCTTTGCTTCTCGAAAATTTTCTCTACACGCTCATATGCTTTTCGGACATAAGCTCGGACTGCTCGAGCTTGGGCTCAAAAGCGGGCTTTCGTTTAGTAATATAAAGCGCAAATAGAGAGCTTGCGAACAAAGACGAAAGAGTAAAGCTTCTTCTACAAGTATCGTTCAAAAAATCTAGAAAAAAATCTCTGCAAAAAGAAGGAAGATTTTTAAAAAAGAGAAGTAATCTGTGTGAGGAACATAAATTTACTTTCCCCACTGCAGCGCTGCAAAGGAGCCTCTGTAAAAGTCAAGTAGATTTTTGAATTCCCGAGATTTGCGCTATAAAACTAATGCTGGTAGCATAAGGGAAAAGCTTTGTCCTGCGAAAAAAAAAACACGTGATAACGTGCAACGTGTGTGAAACTGAATTTCAGCTTTCTTCTTACAGCACTGTAAGAAAACCATTCTAAAAACAAATATGTTTTTGGATTTTTCAAGATTTGGGCTTTCCAATGACTAACGACAGTTTGGTGAAAATCTTTGTACAACAAAAAAGCCCCATTGAAAATTCCTGTCCGATAACAGAAGAGTACCATGAAAAGTAATCGTATCAGAAGAGAATGAGGCTCTGAATGCCGCATTACAAAAACCTGAACATGAGGCTTGAAAATAGCTTTTAAACATGCAGTGCAATAAATCACATCCATTGACGCTTGGCGCTTCGTAGACATTATTTGCACTTCTTTCAATGCAGCTGCAATTTTTTTTTTACTAAACAACATGAGTAAAGTTGCCTCAAGATATTTTTTTTTCCAATGCAAAGTGTCCGTCGAGGTGCCGTTTATGGGGTGTATCGTCACAAAACGTGAACGTCTGAATAGGTGTTTATAAATATAAAGCTCTCTTGATCATCTGAGGATATAGGTTTATATATATATATATATATATATATATATATATATATATATTATATATATATATATATTGAGCACATGAAATACTGCTTCTGCACATACCCCTATCTGAATTTCCGTCAATTCAGTTGTAGAATGAATATACATAAAAGATAAGAAAAATCTGGTAACCCACTAAACTCGGAACGGACAATGTACTGCTAGTGCTGTCACTTCTTCCAAGTTACCCACGTATATTATGTTGTTCGTGTCGCGCGTAATAGGACATTGCGTTGGTTCTTATTATAAGTAAATGTGTGGGATCCATGTATAACTAAAACACTATTAATGAATAAGCACAAAAGATATCACATAAGGATACAGTGTCACTCTTATTCGGTTATTTACTAAAGGATTCTTTTGACTTATTGCGAATTAGAATGCACCTGGCATGATTCAAGAAGCACAATTGACTCATAAAATTCACCACTAAGCCAAAAAGAGATTTTTGTAAAAATACATTCAACTTACTATATTTCTCCAAATCAGCATTGCATTTCGTAACGCATGCTATCTGTACAAGATGACTAGTGGAATGATGTGTATCAAATTCTGTAAATCGGTTCCTATTGTATCTGTAAATTCAAAGATCGCGTTCATTTTCTTGAGGCATGATGACTGTTGGATTAAAATTATCAGATCAAAGTAATCAAATCGAAAACAAACTAGACCTGCAATTAAGTGTATACTCATAAGAGATTGCACATGTCTTCGTGTATGAATTGAAGATTGCAGTACGACAAAATCGCCTCTGCTCCACAAAATTCGGCACACGCACGCACCGACGGCACATTAATTCTGGGAACTCTCACTGTATTAGATGAAGCTGAGCTTCTCTTCACACAATTCTTAATTTTGCAGCGAGAAAAATGAAACCACGCGTTAATGCAATTCCATTCGTAAGAAAATATGCGCACTTGAATTCATATTTGGTCCATAAATTTCGCACGGTGTTCTCACTTTTATCAAGTCTGTGTTCTTGTGTTCCCACACGAACCCGTCAACAAATTGAGAAAAACACAGAAGAGAAGTTTCGGAAGATTTTGCGAGCCCGAGGAGTTGGATAGTTACAATATTCGCGTATTATGAGACAACTTAATCGTTGTGTTACACGCATTTCTTGTATTATAGAAACATAAGCTTAGACGCAATTAACATGCGGAACAGTATTCGAGCTGGCAGAAAAATCGGCATGCAGGTAGCACACTGGTCAGAGAAGTTTGCAATGTACATGTGGTCGTTATTTGTACTCCAACATTTGGAGTAAGCAAAGGCCTCTCTTTCATGTATAGCCGGAAAACTAGCAGCAGATTTATCTGGATGAGTAAGAACACACATTAAAGGCTATTGATGATGGCCAAATATGCATTCAATTGCTTCTGATCGTACTATGAATGGAGTTGAATGCGTAAACGCTTATCGTTATACTTTTACCGAAAAACCAAATCACGAACCCTGTAAAGTAAAAATCGATATCCATAGCTTTATCGTAGATGACAGACTGTGCAAAAAAGTTCCGTATGCATGCTCCTAAAACAACTCGGCTACTTAATAGATTATTTATTCGGAGCAGTTTCACTTACCATTACATAACGAAAAAGTGATTGTGAAAGCCAGTGCTAGAATAAGGAGAGTAGAACTCCTGAGATCACTCATCCTATCAAATCCTGTTCAAGAACTATGATGTGAACAAAACTTCCTACAAATTGAACAACTCTTTGAAAAACGTTTCTCGCTATTTTTGACGAGATTTGTTTCTCGAGTAACTCAAAACAAAATTTTTGAAGCGTGTTGTCATTCCCACTTTCTTGCTTGATCTCCTTAACTTTCAGTAAACAATTAGAACAAACACATCTTCTTAGAAAAACTGTACACACCTTTTAACGCAACAGGAGGAGTCTATTTCATTAAAAAAAATAATATTTTTTACCCTCTCTTAAATGATAAAAACGAAGGGATCTATATAAGAATCTCAATTTTCTCGCTTTCAACAGCGGCAGAGCTAGCTTGAAGAAGGGAAGTGATAAGTCCTGGTTTGAAGATTTGTAAAACAGTCTGATGAAAGTACATATTGAAAAGCAGCTGTTCGATGATTTTTTGATTATTTGGATTGTTTACAAAATTTTTTGATTCCGAGTAAGACATCGTTGTAAATGTATTCTCTTCTACATTCCGTCAGTTAACTAACAGAATTGTCACTGGCAAATTATGAGTTCACTAGAATAAAGAAACAAAAAAAGAGAATTGCGAGGAGCGAGGAATAACTGAAGAAAATCTAGTGAAATGAAGTTGCTTTTACTGTACACGAAATGCTTTGCAAAACATATATATATATATATATATATATATTATATATATATATATATATATATATATATAGTATATATATATATATATATATATATATATATATATATATATACACAAACATGAAGACAAATATTAACATGATTGAAAATACAGATGTTTATAGATGGATAAATAGAAATAAAAACAAGTACAAGTACAAATTCAAATATATCTATATTGACATATACATTATTAATACATGATATGCTTTTAAGCACATCTGTAATGATATATACATTATTAATATATGATATATATTAAGTACTGTATTGTATATACTACAACATTCAAACATATATATATATATATATATATATATTTACGTAATATTTCTTCTTATTATTATTTACTGTTGATATCTATTATTTTAATAATAACTAATAATAAATGTAATGCTATGAGAATGTTATGAGAGAATATATGTTATGGGGCACTGTGGTCGAGTGGTTGTGATGCTCGTCGCGGCGCGGAGCTGGACTCTATCCCAACTCTCTCCGGCAGTCAACAACAGCGACCTATGGCACGCCACGGCCAGGCTATCCCTGAGATCACAAGGAGATTCGCTCAACCAGTATTCTACGTTTTTTAGGAAGGAGATCAAAAACGAATTGATTACTAGAAGTACTAGGATCCGCACAATGAAAAAAAGACACTGCGACGACGGATCAAATATAGTAAAGTAATGGGGTATTACATATCGTTACTAGTCCTGTAATCTTATGTTCTTTTTGCTTCTTCAGAAAAGAAAACAATTACAACACTAGATTTCACGATTAATACGTATCACATTGCTGCCAGCTCAACTAGCTTTATAAAGCGAAATCGCATACCGGACCAAACCTGTTGAGAGTTGGTGGCTGATAGCTACTATAGAGATATTGAAGAATGAGTGGTGATGTGAATGCACCTCGGTGGTGTAGTGGTAGCACTCGTTCCCGGTATGGATAAAACGCGCGTTCGACTCCCGCCTGAGGTCGTATCTTTGCTCACCACTCAATTCTCTTAGGATTATCATTAGTACGTATTTATTGTATACTCGTTTTTATCACTATTTATTATTGATATACACAAATACACTAATAATGATACATATTTACTTTTGTAATTATGCACTAAATAAATAATTAAATAAGTAAATGAGCATATTTATCGCACAAAATGCTCTGCGAAATGATATGCAAAAGACCACTTATGGTTGCGATAATAAAATTTTAGAACAAGTAAACCGAAGTAAAGCTTCAAAGAGTGCCTCAACTTTTACAATAGTTCATTTTGGTGCACAGATGTTTTTTCCTAAACTTTGTTACATATCGATTGGTCATGAAATGTAGATGTCAGAGTCCTCGTTGACACAAGAAAAAATGCGTTCCAATTTGTCTTCTGATTACTTGCAACAAACCTCAGTACCCAGAGGAGCAAAATACATTTTTCAACATATCAAAAAGCACATAACCAACAAGAGATCTTTCCAGGAGTGACGCATTCTATAGCATCTTCATACCTATGGGTTGTAGATTGATTACAAGAATTCCAAGAGGAAAAAAATTCGCGTACGAAATTAAACTATCGGAAAAAATGAGGCCCCTATAGGAACCGCTTCGACATTGATGTGTTAAAAGGCATGTGGATCATAATTGGAAGGAATAACGGATTAATAATGTTGGTTGAGTCTATTACATGACCTAATTTATATTTCAGTAGAAATGAAAAGTATGTAAATGTTAGTAAAGAAGGAGAAGGAAAATCAAGTTATCTAGGCAGGAAAGTAATTTTATTTATAGATTAGAACAAATCTGAAAATTTCTTAACCTGTCGAATATTAATTTTAGATGAAACTTTTACATCTCACGAAATAAGTAGTTCTTCTTGAAGATTTTCTAATCCATATATAATTTGTATACGAATATGGATATTGATGGAAATATTAATGAATAAATACATGTAGGTGATGTAATATGCGCCGTGCGTCATAGTGTGTAAGTGAGACATAGATGGTCGCTGGTTCGACGACCAATCCACCCAAAGCAACCAAGCATTGAATTCCGACGAGATCGATAAATAGGTCACCTACTCATTTGGCGGAAGATAGAACACTGACTTATCTCTATTAGGAAACAACCCCATTTTGTTCTTGTAGACGAGTCCCAAACGTGATTTGTTTAAATTGTAAAAGAAATACGAAGTCTTCCACGTTTCTCTCTGAGATTATTCGGGATTGCTACTTTTTCTGTGAATCTCTTGGGTGTATTGAAATGAAGACAGTAAATAAGAGTATGCAGATAGGCTATAATATATGCACTTGCATATATATATATATATATATATATATATATATATATATATATATATATAGCGCCAACTATAAGCAAGTATAATACTGAACGTTATTGATATGTGAACAAATGTAAAGAGACAAGTGGTTCAAGGACACATTGACAACAGGTTTTCCTTCCAAACCAAGGTTCCACTGAAAACTAGTACGAAATATTTAGATATATGTGATAAAAAGTCTCAAAACCCTCCACCTTTGCTTGAAAATCACGACACAAACCGATATTAGTGTTTGAACTTTCTTCCACTTCTACATCTGATAAAATAACAATGAAGCTCTATCACTTAGAAAGGAAGCTTTGACACAGCTATTTATAGTCGAGATAATGTTGAAATCTATATATTACAGCGATGAGATCAAGAGAATGAGTTTGATAACTTCATGCAACTACTGAAGCGGTGACTTTGTAAGCCAGTATGAACAATATAGATCTTGTTTTCAGTGATAATCTACAGATATTAGTAGACTGACAAAAGGTTATTATGAGAATTTTATTGCGGATGATGTTTTAGCGGCATCAATTTCCACAGGGCCTCGCTGTCCGAGTCAGCGTTCTAAAACGCCAAAGAGAACACTTGAAAAAGTTGTAGAAGTAGCGCCGCAGGCTTTGTGAGATATAGTTACAATACATAGAAGATTACTAATAAGTTACTCTTATCCGATTTGAACTGTGCGTCAAGAAAAGTGGAATAAGTTTGGTGCCGATTTTATCTATTGTGCTTGATAACTGTGATGCGCTTGACATCGTTGGACACATTGGCTGAAAAGAAATTCTACAAGACGAAGGTGAAAATTTCTATGAAAATCATTAAATGGCGTTTTAGCGATTTAAGAAACCATTGGCAGGACATTTGGCATCCTTATGGATCGTAATGAGGATATAAATTATATACACATATATATACATATACGGGTGTACAATCATATATATGTATATATATGCATATATATATATATATATATATATATATATGAGGAGAGAGAGAGAGAGAGGCAAAGAAGGAGAGAGAGGGAGAGAGTTCGGAATCAACACTGCATATCTGAATGGTCTCGCATCAAACTGGGCAAGAGATGACTATCAAAGCTTTCGCTGATGGGCGTGCATGATTTATTGTGAAGTTAAACGCTGACAACGATATGCGACAAAAGTACGTCGCAAAGCGTTGGAGTCGATCTCCAGTAGTCGGAATAGCTCGCTTGCCTTGTGGTTGGCGCTTAATCATGAGTTTTGAGTTCTGACTCATCCTTACCTTTTGTGTTACTTTCTCCAAATATAAACAAAAATTGTTTTTAGGGAAATATATTTCGTCTACAAAAGATGTATATAATAAATATGAAAACGTTGAGATATTAGCAGAATTTGAAACCCGATGTCTGTGTAATGGACTCGAATCGCGACTAAACCTTCCTGGTGTGGAAGAGCACTCGCTCAACGCCATAAAGGCCCTCACTCCGTATTTCTTTCAACCTTGTTTTTACCGTATCAGTTGCTATGGGCATGTTGATAGTCACTAGGTTCCAATTTCTGCTCGTATCTCAGCATTATTTGGTTACACCTCGTGTTGCACTCTGTTGGAAAAACGATAGATAATATGTAAAAAAATTACAATTCATAGAATAATCCTGAAAATCTTCGAAATAGAATTCAAAGAGCCAAGCCTAATAGAGTGATGGGATAATTTTTTCGAAGGATTGAACTATGAATATAGGAAGTGTCCAATCTGGTTATATGTCAATTATCAAATGACAAAAAGAAAAAGAAAAGCTCTGGTGAGTGTGTCGCAAGCGTTCACTCAGCAGTTATAATTTTGAACAGAGTAGAAGCAAGAACGTATTCAAGTAATGAACCAGACGCAATTATGGCCATTCACTTAGCTGCAAGACAGTGTTTTGTCATTTGCGTCGAAAGTTGAAGCAATTCATATATGACACTAGAAATGAAAATGCAAGCAAAGTCCCCTTTGTTGTATAAATCACTAAGAAGAATGCAGTCTTTCAAACGGTTTTGAGTGGAAAAAAGAATAAGGCGCTATCGTGAGGTTAGCTTTTTAATATAATTAGAGACATCATTTGTTCGAGATATACAAATACCTAATATCATCTTACATCATCTTACAGTTCTCGCTGTCTTTTAACTCGTATTTATAATCGACAGTTCAACATACACAAAGACATATTGCGTTTGGACTCACTTTGGCCGTCAAAAGTGTAAACAAGTGTATTCGTTTAGGGAGTTGGAAACAACTGATGCATGTATAACTTTTCACGTGAGTATTGTTTTAGTACGTGTATCAACTTTAACGCACATTGAACATAAAATTTCCGATTATGTGATACAGACGGCGCATGAAAGAAACCAGTTGAATGAATTGCTTTTTGACAAGTTTTGTAAAAAAATTTTGCAGTTCTTCTCATCGTCGCTAAACATGAGATATTTCATTTTGTCTATCCGGGAAAAAAGAATATTCGACTTCATTCGCTGGACAAGAATTTATCATAGGAGTGTTAGTAATCATTCGAAAGCTCAAATCCCCGGCTAGCGCCATACGCGGTTAACTTTTCGAAAATGCCTTTTTACAAGGCCGTAGCATTATGTTTCACATCCGCCGCGCATCTTCATTCTTATCACACCTATAATTCGCTGGAAGCACGAAAGGTATATGAACGTGTAAAGAAACTTTCGTAATATCTGAGTCAATTTCTTCATCGGGAGTTTCTTTCAAAGCGGCGAAAAAGTTCTCGAGTGATAACAAGTTGCGCCCTTCATGTTTAACGCGTCAAGGCATCGATCGATCGTCTCGTTCCAAGCCCGTAGATTAGCCGATATACAAGCCACCGAACATGGTAAACCCGATCTTAATTTCCCTGCTACACTGCAGTAAAACGATCTCTTCAGGATAGAGTGAAGCGTTGGAATTATTGAAACTTACCCTATTGAATGATTACTAGTAGTCCAAAGAAGGAGCTCTGTTCCGGCGAGGTGCAAAACATGAATATTAAATCTTGAATATTTTTTGATCTTCTACAACGCTATCAAAAAAAAAACTTTTTCAAAAAGCCAACTCATTTTTTGGGTTCGTTGAGACTTGTGCTATCGTAAGAGTGCTAACACGTTAAAGAATAAGTTTTTTTTTCCCATGAAATATAAGCGATATAAGAAAAAAAAAGAGTAGTCGTGTGAAGCATTATTTCATTTTGAACTTTACACCATTATAGAAAGCGTATTCTGAAAAACGACCACTTATTGCGCTGACCAAAGGTTTAAGCTTTCGAATGATTCTAACACTCTTATGGAAAATCTTGTCCGGTGAATGAGGTCGAATATTCATTTGTTCCCGGACTAACAGAAAGATCGTGTGGGATGAGAGCATGATTTAACAACGATCATTATACTGGCAATATGCATGTGTAAAATTCCTAAACTTGAATGACGTTTCCGAGTATTTGATCAATTGCTGTTCATTAGAGTTTAGCACCTTAAAAACCCCAATGAAAGGCTAGACAGAAAGCTGAATTAATTAGTATGATATAGTGATTATCTCAATCTACGGAATTCAAGCACTTTTCAGTAGGACATATTCCCTTATGTAATGTATTTTGTCAGCGAGGAGATTAAAAACTCATGTAAAGTCTCAGGAATACTC